TGAGACGGGGACTGGCTATGCAATTCAGGTTGGCCTTGAACTTACTGTGACACAACCTGGCCTTGAACTCAGAGATCCTCTTAGCTTTCCAAGTGCTGGGATTATAGGTGTGCACCACTACACTAGGCTCCTAAATATTTTTTTTTAACTAAATATTTTTTATCTAGTCTCGACTACCTCACATCCTTCCTGCCTTACCTCCCAGCCATTTTGCATACCGCAGCCAGATTAATCCTTCAAAATGTAAATCTGATATTGTTTATTCTCCCCACTCCCACTTAAATATATACAGTACTTTGGGTCTTCTAATCCTCTTAGCATAAAGCAACATCTTAGGGTGGCTCCTGCCACCTCTTCAACCTCCAGTCTTGACTATACATACTTTGCTTCTCCAGTTATAGTCCCCCTTTAAGTTCTTCGAAGTTTTTTGGGGGTGGTGCAGTGGGACTGGAGACAGGGTCTTGCTATGTAGTTCAGATTGTCCTTGATTGTCATAGATTCACTATGTAGCCCAGGCTGGCCAGGAACTCACAGCAATCCTGCCTCAGCCTCCCAAGTGCTGGTATCACAGGCGTGCGCCACCTTGCAGTTTAAGTCCAAAGTTTCCAGGGACCGTCCCACTAGAGACTTTGGAGTTTTGTTTGGTTTATTTATCTATTTATTTAATTTTGAGACAGAGTCTCCTTGTGTAGTTCAGGGTGGCCTTGAACTCACTATGTAGCCCAGGCTGGCCTCAAACTTGCAGCGGATGCTCCTGCCTCAGCCTCCCGAGTGCTGGTGTTATAGCCGTGTGCCACAACTTAGCCCACTTAGAGCCTTTGTACACAGCTATTACTTCTGCCTGATTTGCTCATCTTTTAAATTTTTTAAAATTTGGGGGCTGGGGATTTAGCTCAGTGGTTCCAGCTCCTGCCTTGCAAGCACAAGGTCCTGAGTTTGCTCCCCGGTACCAAAAAAAAAAAATTTTTTTTAATTTGTGTGTGTGTGCGCGCGTGCGCACACATGCATACCCTAGGGATCAAACCCAAGGCCTCAAACATGGTAAGCATATGCTCTGCCACTGAGACACACACACACAGCCCATGAAATGCTCCTCTTTTCCCTGCTATCCTGTACTTACCCTTCAGAGTTCTCTGAGTCACTACTTCAGGAGTGAGCAAGTCAGATCCCTCAATTATAGCAGCCTCATGTCCCCCTTCTTTGTAATACTATTCAGTTGCAATTTTTTAGGTATTTATTAAATCCTACTACTTCCCACCAGGTACAACTGTTAGTAAATCTTGGTTTCTGTTCTACTGCGATTTATGGTCATAATAGACAACAAACAGAAAATTACAATGTTTTAAGTGCTGCCATGGCAGTGAGTATAGTGTATTATAGGAGCCAAGAGGTTCCACATCCATATTTGTGAATAAGGTTAGGCTTCTCAAAAAAATTAAAACTTGAGCTGAGTCCTGAAGTAAGAATTGGCAAGGAAAACGGAGAAAGAAACTACATTATTCCAAACAGAAAGAGGTGGAAGGGAAGAGTATTCCATTCAAAGGTTCAGAGACAGGGGCAGGGAACTTAACTGAGTTATTGCATTTGGCTGGACTACAGAAGTGGAAATAAAGACAAGAAATAGAGTAGAGAACCAGGCTGAATCTCGAACTTCCCTTTGACACCTGGGAATGTAACCTCCCAGCATATATTAGATTATGTAGCAGATTTTTTTCATGGCATGTTTTGATTACTCTTCCACCTGCAGCCCCTAACATGTCAATCTCCTATCAGATCTTCTCACCTGAGTATTCCTCAAAGCTTCTTGTTGCTACCTTCCTGAGGGCAGAATTCCAGCTATTAGTAATTTCCCAAAACTGAAACCAATTTCTGTCAATTTAGGGTTGGTTAAATAAACTTAAGTAAATAAAGTATGATACATACTGTGGAATACTCTGCAGCCATTATAAAAGGTAAGAGTTGACAACAATTTGAAAAAATTTACAAAATAATTCAGTGTCAGTGTTAAAATATACATACCTGGGCCAGAGATTTAGCTCAGTGGCACTGTGCCTGCCTTGCAAGCACAAGGTCCTGAGTTTGATCCCCAATACCCCCCCCCCAAAAATACACACACACACACACACACACATATATATCTTACGATATATGCGTTCTAGCAGGTAATAGTCTCAAACTATTTATGGAGACTCAGACTTTTTGTTTCTCCGTGTACTTTCCCTTTTTTGTGAGGCTGGGAATCGAACCCAGTGCTTCACACATACTGGGCAAACACTATACCACTGAACCTAAGCCTCCACCCTGCTGCTTGTCCTTCTCTATGTTGTTTGACTGACTTGATTTCAACTATCATGTTAACTTTCACAGTTAAAAGTCAGTGTTGTGGGCCAGGGATTTAGCTCAGTGGTTCCGACGCCTGCCTTGCAAGCGCAAGGTCCAGAGTTCGATCTCTGGTACCAAAAACAACAACAACAAAAGTCAGAGCTAACTACTATTATTGCAGCACTCTGAGAGGCTGAGGCAAGAAGATTCCAAATTCCAACCTAGTCTGGGCAACTTAGTGACTTAGTGAGACCCTGTCTCAAAAAGGGTCGAGAATGCAAAGGCCTTGGGTTCAATCCCCAATACCATCACAAAAAACGTTTTTTGCCAATTTGAAAAATTTCCAGGGCGTGGGTGTGGTGACACACACCTGTAATCCCAGCACTTGGGAAGCAGAAGCAGGAGGACTGCTGTAAGTTCAAGACCAGCCTGGACTACATAGTGAGACTTAAAAGAAAAATTTCCATTTCAAAACAGAGCAAGTATGTCCCTAGCCCTGTCATTTGCTCAGTCAGTCAGTCTGGTCAGAGGAAGATGCTGGAATCTATCTCCAGGTTATGTGCCTGAAGAGCAGGGAAAGACTGACTCCAAGCACAGCCACAGGACTGCAGCATCCCAGCTTTGTGAGGTCTCCCCAGAAGTTAAGCCCTTTGAAACCTTAAAGACCCTATTTATTATTTTCCTTTTTGTTGTTTGGTTTTGGTTTTGGTTTTGGTTTTTGCAACAAGGTCTCCCTGTGTAGTGTATGCAGGCCTCAAACTCACTATGTAGCTCAGGCTGGCCTCGAATTTGCAGCAATCCTGTTGCTTCAGCCTCCCAAGTGCTGGGATTACAGGTGTGTGACATCATGCTCGGCTTAAAGACCCCATTTGTTCCTATATTTCTTCCTTCGTTCTTCCATTTATCCATTTGCCCATCAAACTGTTAGTGAATACCCAGTCTTTGCCAGGCTCAGTGAAGAGTAATTGGAGAAGCAGAGAAAGGGCCAGGGATTTAGCTCAGTGGTTTCGTCGCCTGCTGCGCAAGCGCAAGGACCAGAGTTCGATCCCTGATACCAAAAAAAAAGAAGCAGAGAAAGAAGTTTGACTTCTTGTCTCTGCCCTCAAATTCACAGGGATGAAACAGAAAATAGCGTAAAGAAATAAGTACAGGTCAGGGATTTAGCTTAGTGGTTCCGGGGCCTGCCTTGAAACCACAAGGTCCCAAGTTTGATCCCTGGTACGAAAAAAAAAAAAAAGAAAGAAATAAGTACAGAGAGTACAATTGCTTCCATTTATTCCAAGCAAGGGTTTGTCTTCATTTCACAGGTGAGATAATAGCCTGTAGTGAAATTCTGTCCAAAGTACAAGGGGGCAAGCGTGAGTTAGCTATTGCTGTGTGACAAATAACCCTCCAAAAGAGAGTGGCTTAAAACAATAAGCATTTATCCCCACTTCTAAGCCTCTGAGTCAGCTGGGCAGTTTTTCTGGCTGTGGTTGAGCTCACTGATATGCTGCTTGTAGCCTTCTGTGCTACTCTCCTCATCGTGCATAGGGGTGGGCTCAGCAATCTCTCACCTCCCCTCAGCAGCCCAGCAGGTTCTCTTCTCACGGCACTGGCAGGGAGCAAGAGAGCAAGCCCCATTTAAAGCTTCTGTTTGCTATGTGTTTCTCAACGTCCCACTGGGCAGAGCAAGTTACACTGCTGTGTCCAGCACCACAGGGGGATGGAACTACAAAGTCAGGGAGCAAAAAGGGAACAGATACATGAATAGGGATCATCAAAGCAATCAGTCTAACGGGACACACTGACCAATTTTATCTGGAAAAGAGAGGCTTTGCAGAAGAAGGTACATCACAGCTGAGATTATTCACTAAGTAGCTGTTACTGGAAGCAGGCAGGTTTGCCATGATCAGTAGAAACCCAGCAGGTCTGTCTGCTTGTAAGAGGGTTCTATTATTTGTATCTTGGCTTCATTCCTTTTGGTCAGGCACAGGGTGGCAGGCACTCAACAAATGTTTGCAGAACTGAATTGATACCTTACTGTGAATGAAGTGTGGAATGAAACAGCTGAACCTGGGATAAAGTTAGAAAGAACAACTTTGCATCCGCTCTCCCAAAATAGAAATCCTTGTATTGGGCAGCTGCTCATTCATTCATCCCGCAAACATTTCCCAAGTGCCTGTTGTAAACTAGGTCATGTGTAAGATGATACGTAAGACATGGTACTAGGCCTGGGTCATTGTTTTATTGAAGGAGGTTAATAATAACCCATTCCATGAGCAAATTTATCAGGCTTAAAGCTCCATTTTTAGTACTGACTCAGAAAATCTATCAGGAGCTGGTGGTACACAAAATAAGTTCTTAAGAACCGCATTGAAGTTCTCTCATCACCAAGGAGATTTTTTAAAAAATTTTATTTGTACATTTTAGGTATACAATATAATGATGTTCATCATTGGAGATTTGTACCTTTATATATCTTGATTCACCAAGGAGATTAACAGTAAAAATCTGCCCTTCCATATTTTATGCTGAAATCCATGTTTAGTCGCCGCCTGCTGTGCAAGCGCAAGGACCCAAGTTTGATCCCCGGTACAAAAAAAAAAAAACCTCAGGATTCCAACCTAGGGCTTTCTTTGAGAAAAGTGTTCAGGCACCAAGCCTGTTGTAGGTGCTGCAATGCCTAGATTTATGTCTCAGCTAGGTTCCTCTATTTCTACAAAAGAATATGTTCTTTGTTGACTGCTTGTGGACTAAAACAAATTCCAGGTATGGTTGTGCATACCTGTAACCCTGTACTTGGGAGGCCGAGGCAGAATCATGAATTCAAGGCCAACCTGGGCCACATAGTGAGACCCTGTCCCAAACAAAAGAACAAACAGCCAGAGCCAGGTGTGGTGATACCGGCCTGTAATCCCAGCACTCTGGGAGGCTGTGACAGGAGGATCATAAGTTGGAGCGCAGCCTAGGCAATTTAGCAATTTAGTGAGACCCTGTCTCAAAATAAAAAAATAATCTTAAAAAGGCTGGGGATGTAGCTTAGTGCAAAGGCCCTGGGTTCAATCCCCAGTACCAAAAAAATAAAAAGGAGTATTTGCCTATTTCAATGTCTTACAAACAGACTAATTTCTTCTTTGAATCCAGTGATGAGCACCACATATTCCATGGTTTCCCTTTTTCCTTTGGCTACCAGGAATTTCGTGGCTAAATGCAAGTATAGATTCTTAAGTCTCTGAAATATCTTTTCCTTTAATTTCTGCATCTGCAATGTCCATATGGTAGTCAACCAAGCACCTGACTGGTAGCTTAATCCAAATTATGTGTAAAATTTCTCACTAATTTCTAATATTGATTAATGTTGAATATTTCAGATATATTAGGTTAAATAAAATATATTAACTTTGTTTCATTTTACCTTCATTATTGTTCCTAGGAAATTTCCACTATAGCCAGGTGTGGTGGCGTGTGCCTGTATTCCAGCACTTGGGATCCAAGGCAGGAGGATCACCAAGCCTGGGATATATAGCAAAACCCTGTCTCAAAAGGAAAAGAAATAAAAGCAAAAAAGAAAAGAAAATTCCATTACATGTCAAAACTGTTATATGAGGCTTATGTGTAACTTGTATTACACCTCTGTTGGACAGCACTGTTTTACAGAACATTCTATTGGATGAGATTAAAAGTATGCTAACCCTCATCATTTTTGGAGAACAGGTGAAGTAATAATGCGTACAACAGCAGATGGAATGCAAAGGAAGGTTGATTCAGTGTCTACTTGTTTTTGAGACAGGGTCCTGCTATGTAGTTCAGGCTGGCCTGGAACTATGTAGCCTCAGCTCATCTCAAACTCGCAGTGATCCTCCTGCCTCAGCCTCCCAAGGACTGGGATTTCAGGTATGCACCACGACACCTGGCTGGTTTTTGTTTTTTGATACAGGGTGTTTTTCCAGGCTGGCCTGGAAAATACTCAGCCTCCTGAGTATTGGGGCTATTTGTCTTTTGTTGATGTGATTCACATGCTAAAAACTCCTTGGTAAAGTGTTTTTAGTTCTCTTCTTTCCAGGTGAGTGCTATTCCACAACGCTCCCTAGACTCCAGGAAAAGCCTGTTCTCAGCTTTACATTAGCTAACAAGTTGGAATCTGATAGGACAATTCACACCACACCCCAAATGACTGATAACAACTTTGTGTTCACCCCTCTCAGGGAGTATTTCCATTTTAACAGGGAACAATCCCTGAACCAAAAGGAATGAATCTCTAATGGTGGAGTTTCAGGCATCAGTGACAGGTGAGTGAGAGGCAGACTCTCAGTTTTGTGTGTGTTTACTGTCTGTGGAGCTACTTTTAGGATGTGGCTGAAAGGGTTTTCGGAAGGAAAGGGAATGAGACTGATGGACAAGGTGGGCAGAGGTGGCGGCACATCCCCAGTTGGGTCAGACTACAGTGAGCTCTCAGACACCAGCCAGATCCAGTGCAGCATATCAAGGGTTTGTTAAGCAACAGAGTAGCCCAGCTGATGTCACCAGAGGGTAGGTATGAAGACAGTCTCCATGGTAACTACTGTGGAGTAGCAGAAAAGCTCAGAGGAGGATTCAGGAGACTGACTGCAGTCTGCACCTGACTTATTGGCTTAACTCTGGGCAAGTCTTTTACCCCTTGGGTCTCAGTTTGATATGAATGTGCTTGAGGACAAAGGCCCTACAAATATAAGAAATAATGATTAAGGGCCAGGGATTTAGCTCAGTGGTTCCAACACCTGCCTTGCAACCCCAAGGTCCTGAGTTCGATTCCCCATACCAAAAAAAAAAAAAAGAATGATTAATATCTTAACTGACCGTGGTGGCACAAGCCTATAATCCCAGCACTCGGGAGGCTTGAGGCAAGGAGGATCTTTCTGAGTTTGAAGCCAGCCTGGGCCACACAGAGTTCAAGGCCAGCCTGAACTGCAGAGAGAGACCCTGTCTCAAAAAAAAAAAGATTAGTATCTTAAAATGGAAATGTAGCTAGGCAGGCCTAAAGTAGGGTAGGGATAAAAAAGGAGAGGTGGAGGGCTGTGGGGAAATGTGGGGATGGATGGCCCTTGTACCTGGAAAACCCATCCTTCTCTCTCCTCCTAGGCTGCACCCAGACCCCCAGGGCCGGTGCCTGCAGGTGACAAATGACGGCCTGAACTATGAGCAAGCAAGGCCACATGAACTCTTCAGTGCAGGAGCCCCCTCTTGACTACTCCTTCAAAAGCATCCATGTTATCCAAGGTCAGCCCATGAGCTTGCCCTCTGCTCACAGGGTAAGAGGCCTAGTGTGGTCCCTAAGAAGAAACCACTCTTCTACCTAAAAGCCTAAAGTGACTCGTCCCTTACACTTGCAGATTTGTTGTTGTCACTGGGGAAGTGAGGAGTAAGAGGTGTTTTTGTGGTGCTTCAAACCCAGAACCTTGCACATCCTAGGCAAATTCCACTGAGCTACATCCCCAATCCAGAAGTTTTTTGGTTTGTTTGGGGGTTTTTTTTGGTACCAGGGATCGAACTCAGGACCTTGTGCTTTCAAGGCAAGTGGCAGAACCACTGAGCTAAATCCCCAGCCCCTGTGGTTTGTTTTTTAATAGCAAACTGTTGGAGCCTCTTGGAGTAGGTGACCATCTTCAAAAGAAGCCAAGCAGCAGGACATAGTGGCACATACCCGTAATCTTAGCACTCGGGAGGCTGACACAGGAGGATCACCTCAAGTTTGAGGCCAGCCTGGGCTGATTTCAAGGCTAACCTGAACTACAAAGGGAGACCTTGTCTCAAAAAAACCAAAACAAAACAAAAAATTAAATTTAAAGAGCTGGGGAATATAGCTCAATGCGAAGGTGCTAGGTTCAATCTCCACCCCCCCACCCCCCAAAGAAAAGGCAGCTGGGTATGAGAGCAGCACATGACTATAAACCCAGCTACTTGGGAGGCTGAGGCAAGAGGATCACAAGTATGAAGCCAGTTTGAGCAACGTAGGGAGACCCTGTCTCAAAATAAGAACAGCTGCGTACGTAGCATTCCCCGAGTTCAATCCCCAGTGCGGAGGAGGAAAAAAAAATTGGGAGATCAATCTACCAGACAATAGTCTTTTATTCTCATTTTTACCTGAAAAGGGGAGGAAACTAGTGAGGAGAAACTACAGACTACTGCAGAATTCCACCCAACAGGCAGAAGTATCATCAGTCTGGGAACACAAGTCTGTTCTGATCACTGGTGGAACATGAGAGGGCTTATTGCTAACAAGCTAGCATGTTTCCAGTTTACTTACTGACAAATTTCTGACATTCATTCCAGCCATGCAGGTTCTAACACTGCCCACGCTCACTCCCGTTTTACCAGTGTCTTCATAAATGGGCAGCTAACACCCCTTAGGAGAGGACACAGGACAGGCTCTCTGCAATGTCTGTCTCGAGGATCTGCGATTCTTCCCAGCTTCTGCCATTGCTGGCTTTTGTTAATCACCTGCCCAGAATACATGTTCTGATACAGCCAGTCCTAGATTCATTACTGGACTTTGGTTTTCTTTCTTAGGCAGCTGTAGCTACTTGTAAGTGTAGGCAGCTGAGGAATACTACTAGCCTTGGCTTGGGTTTAAGACACTATTTGGGTTAGCATCAGCCACGGTTTTAACTCATATCTGATGTCTCCCCAGCACACACCTACCTACCACGATCTTTGTTGTACACTGTGTCATTTCTGATTGATGTAGTCCACGTTTCACAAGTTTAGATGCAGTAATAGCTATGTGCAAGATGGCTGAAGCAACAAGTGCAGGGGGAGTAGAGGAGCTCATCATGGGAATTCCCAGCTCTGAAGGAGGAGATGTAGCTCTTCCCTCTGGACTCCTAAGAATGACAGACAAGCTACTGCTACCAGGGGTGTCTCTACAGCATGAACCAAAATCCGTACACAGGCCCTGTCCTTCATTCAATACTTCAGTATTTACTGAGCACCTACTATTTATCAAGCAGTGATGTATATATAGATATATACATGTACACACACACACACACACACACACACACAGAGACATGGTGCTCCTTGCTAAGTGTGTTAAGGGATGGAAAAAAGAGGTATAGCAAAGTCTCCACAGGCCAGAGTCCCTTCAGTTGCCCAGAGCTTTGGAAACACATCACTAAGATCAAAGGACAGGGTAGAATTTGGGGGTACTTGGGACACTATTTGCTGAATTAATCAAGATGGGTCATAGAATCTGAAATGGTGATAACTTTAGAAAGCATCTGATTTGTACTACTTGGTAAGACAAAAGCTTGGGGAATGTCACCAAGCATGGACTGATCCCATGTATAACCCACAGTCCCCTACCTTCTACTCACAAACCTAGCCTTAAGGGTTTCCCCCACTGTATGCACCAACTTGTATTATGAACGATGAGATTCTTTGTATCAAACTGACTTCTGCCTCTGGTAATACATGGGAAAAGCTGCATGGCAGCCCTTCAGAGATGAGAGGACAGGATGGTTTCTCCATCCTCCTGGAACTTCCCAGTTCTGTGACTGTTGATATTTGTGGTCCAATTTCCAAACCTGTCTTGGCCTGCTCTGAACAAGGAATTTTTTTTTGTAGTACTGGGGATTGAACCCAGGGCCTTTTCATTTACCTGTATTTCCACCCTTTTATTTGAGACAGGGTCTCACTAAGTTGCCTCACCTGGATTTGAACTTGTGATCCTCCTGCCTCAGCATCCCAAAGTGTTGGGATTACAAGTATGTGCCACTGCCCCAGCTCGAACAAGGAAGCTTTTAATAGCTCCTCAGTTAATCTAGTACTTTGGTGGACTCCGAAGGGACCAAGAAGCTATAGTAGTCTGGACACCCCACTCCAACCTTACTTACTAACAGCAGCTTCACATTTAAGGCAAATCCATTTATCGGGATCAGCCCATGTTTAGTGGCATCCCAAGCTTCTCTGCCTCTTCAGACTGGATGATAGCTCATGTGAAATTATTTTGGTCTTGGTTTTTATTCTTCTGAGGGTTGTCAGGTGTGGGGAGGGAGACAAGCTTAGGACTCTTCATGCACAGTGGTCCTCTGCACTGGTGGGTCCTGCTCACTCCAGAACTGAGGCAGAGCGCCACCTGGTGGATACTGCCTGCCCTGCAGCTGCAGAGGAGAGGAGGTTAATGTCCAAATAGAGGTCAGAGAACTGTCCAGTAGAAAACTGAAGGGACTAGTGAAGACAGCCTAGCCAGATTTGGCAAATACGCAATACTTCTTTCCCCAGAAGCACCCTTTGACTAATAAGCAAAGGTTTAGTAGCACTGGGAAAATAATCACCCCAGCCAGATGTGGTGTCTGGTTCTGGCTCTGGCTCTGCTGATAGGGAGATTGTGCTGTTTTTATTTTTATTTATTTATTTTTTTGGTATGGGGGATCAAACTCGGGTCCTTGTGCTTGCGCAGTAGGTGGCGAAACCACTGAGCTAAATCCCCAGCCTTGTGCTGATGTTTTTAAAAAGTAGTATGGGGGGGCCGGGGATTTAGCTCAGTGGTTTCGCCGCCTGCTGCGCAAGCGCAAGGACCCGAGTTCAATCCCCAATACCAAAAATAAAAAAATTAAAAGCAGTAGAGGAAGGGTTCTTGCATATGTGTCTCTTCAGCCAAACTTTTGGAGGTGGCTGCTACCTGGTTGTACTTCTTACCTTTCCACTTACTCCAATCTGGTTTCTAGTCAAGGTTACCAAGGACTTCACAGTTACCAACATTATTTTCCAATCTTTGCCTCCTTAAAACTTATTCCTACAGGCTGGGGATTTAGCTCAGTGGTTCCATGCCTCCCTCAAAAGGAAAAGGTCCCTGAGTTTGATCCCTGGTACCAAAAAAAAAAAAAAACCAACTTACTCCTATAATTTTTTTTTTTGAGACAGTATCTCATGTAGTTCAGGCTGGCCTTGAACTCACAGTGATCCTCCAGCCTCATCCTCCAGAGTGCTGGGATTACCCGCATGTGTCACCACACCTAGCACTCCCTAAACACTTTTGAAGCTGTTTTCTCTTGGTTCTTCCTGTCTTTCCCTCATTACTCATTTTTAGAGGTTTTTTTCTCTTTTGAGACAGGGTCTTGCTATGTAGTTTAAGCTGGCCTTGAACTCACTGTGTAGCCCAGGCTAGCCTCAAACTTGTGGCCATCTTCCTGCCTCAGCCTCTAGAGTGCTGGGATTACAGGCATGTGCCACCATGCCTAGCTCGTTATTTTCTTTAATGGACTTCTCTTCCTCTTTGACCCTCCTCTACCCTCACTCTGAGAAATCTCATCTGATTCCCTAATTTGTGCATCCTACATTAATGATTCTCAAGTCTGTCTCTGGAGCTTTGGGTTTCCATATCCAACTGCCTACTTGGCTTCTCTACTTTTCTGTACTACAGGAAACTCAAAAACACACCAAAGCTTGGCTGGGGGTTTAGCTCAGTGGTTCGGCCGCCTGCCTCACAAGCACAAGAATCCAAGTTTGATCCCCAGTACCAAAAACAAAAAAAATTGGGGCCGGGGATTTAGCTCAGTGGTTTCGCCGCCTGCTGTGCAAGCGCAAAGACCCGATTTCAATCCCTGGCACCAAAAAAAAAAAAAAAAATACACCGAAGCCAAGCCTCAACACATCACTTTACCAAGCTAGTCTCGCCTTTGCAATTATCAATTATAATCTACCCAGTCACCCAAACAAAAAACTGGGCACCACCCTTGAATAGCCTTCTACCCTTCCACCCTGGAATATGCATTCAAGTCATGCTGCTTGTATATCCCTCTCATCTCTTGCTTGGATGACTAAAATAGCCAAGCTGGTCTTGTGGTCCCACCCACCCACACAGAAGCTTTAAAATGATCTTTCAAGTGACATCTGAATCATTTCCTTTGCTTTAAACATGCTGGTGGCTTCCCATCACCTATAGGATAAAGCCTGAGATCCTTAGCCTGACATCTAAGACACATGACTGCTCCTGTCTTTTTCCTTCTTGTTCCCTTGGGCAGTATACACACACCCATGCTGCTCTAGACCTGTGCCTTTGCTTATCCTTTCTGTACCTCTTTGCTTAGTTTACATCTTCTTGGTTCAAGCCTAACAACTCTGGTTTTTAGTTTTCTCATCTGTAAAATGGGAGTGGGCTTGCTTCACCCTCATTCCCACACAAGAGAGGTATACGGAGGACTCTAGGACATAACAGACATGAGACCACCTGACCTGGAAAGCCAAGAATGATGGGAAGTCTTTGACTCTTAGTCCAAACTTACTCTGATTGCTGGAGCCTATTGGACGGGGCTGCACTAGACGCAAGCATGGTGCTATGGACCCATTAGCTCCTCCTGCCATAGCTTGGGATACTCATCTTCCCAGCTCTGTTCCTTCCTACTCCCTAAAGCCAGGAAAGCAAAGATGACATATCCAAGCCTCACTCTGTCCTCACAGATCTGGTCAGTGAGGAGCCAAGAACAGGGCTACGACCACTGAAGCATTCAAAGTCCGGGAAGTCACTGACCCAGTCCCTGTGGCTGAACAACAATGTCCTCAGCGACCTGAGAGATTTCAACCAGATGGTTTCACAGCTGCTGGAGCACCCAGAGAACCTGGCCTGGATCGACCTATCCTTCAATGACCTGACTTCCATTGATTCTGTGAGTTTCTAGCCCTACAAACTAGGGGCAGGGCTGAAACTACTCTGGCCTCTCCGCTGCCATGTGATATTAAGAATAGAGGGTCTGGGCCGGGGATTTAGCTCAGTGGTTCCACCGCCTGCCTCTCAAGCGCAAGGTCCTGAGTTTGATCCCCAGTACCATAAAAAATAAAAGTAGAGTGTCAGCATGGTGCAGTCCAAGGCATGTAACTATGGAGGGGCACAAAGATGGAGGTTCAAATCCTGAGTTTGCCTCTAACTTTGGGCAACCTCTCAAAATCTCAGCCTCAGCCAGGCATGGTGGTGAATACCTGCAATTCCAGCATTCTGGGAGGCTGTAGCAGGAGGTTTGCAAGTTTTTTGGGGTTTTTTTGTTTTGTTTCTTTTGGTACTGGGGATTGAACTCGGGTCCTTGTGCTTTCGAGGCAGGGGGCAGAACCACTGAGCTAAATCCCCAGCCCTGGGTTTGCAAGTTTTGAGCCCAGCCTGTGCAACTCAGTGACTTAGGGAAACCCTATTTCGAAAATGAAGAATAGGGCTAGAGATTAGCTCAGTCCAAAGGAACTGGCTTCAATGCCCCTACTACAAACCAAACTATATCATCTTGCCCTGCCTTATCTGCAAAATGAGGATAATGTGTCAGCATCATAAAGGTTTTGTGAGGATTAAATGAAAATAATATGACAATCAACTGGTATATCAATAGCAGAAGCAGAATTGTAGGTATTGTTGTGGGGTACCCAGTGTCTTGTGCTGAGTTCTGCTGTGGAAGAGGTAGGTAGAAAAGTACATCACTTACTTGCTGAGAAATATTCAAGTTTTAAGAAATAAACAAAATGTGGCCCCTTCTTGCCAAAATTCCTGTTGGCGGGGAAGGGCTGAGGCGTGACTTGGAGACTATTCCCCTGGTATAGTAATCTTTTTTGGGGGGGGGGGGGGGATTGAACTCGGGTCCTTGCGCTTGCGAGGCAGGCGATGGAACCACTGGGCTAAATCCCGGGCCCTGGTATAGTAATCTTAAAAGCTTTACTTATGTGCCTAGCATGACACTGTATTCCTGTCTCCTGCTATCACCAAAGCTTCAGTCACAGTGAGAGGGTAAGTTAGGCCCAGGGAGAGGAAGGCAAGAGAACCGTTACCTGGCCAGTCAGTGGCAGTGCTGGGACTCAGGGCCCATATCTCCTGCCCATCAGGTCATGCTTCTATTTCAGTGTGATGGCCCTGTGTCCCTTAAAAGTAAATGAAAGTATAGCGTCACCCACTAAGGCTGTGAGGGTCGGAGTGGAGGGAAGGTTGTTCCCCAAACTTTTCCTTCTCTGCCAAAGTCAATCCTGAGCAGAGACCTAGGGTCCTGTCTAGCCTGGCTCCTGGGTTCCTCCCAACAGGTCCTAACGACATTTTTCAACCTGAGTGTCCTCTACCTTCATGGCAACAGCATCCACCACCTGGGGGAGGTGAATAAACTAGCTGTCCTCCCTCGGCTCCGGAGTTTGACACTCCATGGGAACCCCATAGAGGAAGAAAAGGGGTATAGGTAAGTGTCCTGTCCCTGGAGCTGGGGTCCAGCTGGGCTCCCCTGAGGGATGAGGTGAGGGGAGACAAATCTCAGACCTGAAAGGGGAATGGCAGAGCTTGAAACATTTCTTGCGGTCAGTCAGGATGAACCCCGTCTCCCCCAAACCACACTCCAGTCCCTCCATTTAGAGTAGATAGCAGCAACTGGGGGAGGGAGAGTGGAAGGGGATTGTGCTGGGGGAGCAGGGTCTGGCCCCCAGCCTGAGTCTTGCCCACAGGCAGTATGTGTTGTGCAGTCTGCCCCGTATCACCACGTTCGACTTCAGTGGGGTCACCAAAACAGACCGAACCACAGCTGAGGTCTGGAAATGCATGAACATCAAGACCAAGAAGGCACACTTCAAGGAGAATGCACTCTGAGCTTCCCTTGGGACTACAGCCTCGAGGACAGTCAGCCTGGCTGAACAATAATAAATGATTTGAGCTGTTCAGCAGAGCCGAAGTCATTTGTACCCTGTTTCGATGTCCTCCAACTCCAGTAACCATCTGTAGCTCTAGTCTTACTTCACCAAGGAAGGCTGTGGAGGGAAAGGCCTGCTGGCCTGGGACACAGGAGAGCTGGCTGACCACAACGCCCTGGACAACTCATTTAGCCTCTCTGGGCCCCTCTGTATTCTTCAGCTTAGGTATCATAGGGTTAGAGTAGACGGCTCCTTTCCAAATTCTTCAGAGTGTCAGGGCATGTGCAGCTGCCTCAGAGGCATCCATGACAGGCCCAGAAGATGGGCTGTGATCCACTCCAATCAATCACTAGAGTTCTACTGTTCCATATGTTGGAATACTGCTTAAGATTTCATTTGAGCCTGGTGGCGCATGTCTGTAGTCCCTGCACTCAGGAGGCTGAGGCAGGAGGACTACCCTGAGTTTGAGGCCAGCCTGGGCTACATAGTAAGTTCAGTGCTAGCATGGACCATACTGTAAGATCTTATCTCAAAAAGAAAAAAAACAAAAAAACCCACCAGGCATGATGGCAACCCGCCTATAATCCCAGCACTTGGGGGGCTGAGGCGGGAGGATTGGCACAAGTTGGAGGCCAACCTAAGATACACAGTGAGTTCAAGGATAGCCTGAACTACACAGTGAGACCTTATTTCCAAAAAACAGAAAAAAGTGTCCTGGGCAGAGCCTGATCTTTGCCAAACACTCAGGACTCTTGGTAATTTCACTGAGCCTGAAGCAGGGTCCTCAACAGCACAGGTGCCTCATATCAAGACTGTCAGCACCGACAATGTTCTCACCTAGACTTAGCACAGGCACCCGGAGCCCTGAACCCTTATCTCCTGGAATTCTCTTTATTGCCCTTTGAAGATACTCCCTTCCCCGATCTCACTGCCCACAGACCTGAGGAGCCAGAAGGAAGAGGGCAGGAGGACAGAGGGGCTGGAACCAGCACACAAATGAATACACTTCCTTTATCGAGAGTGACAAACAAAAACAAAAAGAAAAAAGACCAAACATGTAAAAACCCAGGGTGCTAGAAATACAAACTCAATTCATTCAAATTCAAGCTCATCCAGACCCTGGTCACAAACCCTAGTGAGGTGCCCGTGAGCACCAAGTGAGGGAGAGGGGACCGAAGTGAATCTGAGGCCAAGAGAGACAGTGGGAAGGGGATCCCTGGGTCCCCTGTTGTTCACCCCCACAGTGGTATCTCTACCTTCCCAATGACTGGACACCTACCAGGCCCTGTCCTCCTGGCCCCCACCCCACCAGGGCTTCGAAGGCCAGTCCCAAAAGTTCTACCCCCCCTTGTTCAGTCCTCACTTGCTTGGGCTTCTAGCCCTGCTCTCCTCCACATTCTTCTCCATGATTAGTAGCAGGTTAGGGTACTGTTTAAGCCGCAGTGAGGCTGGGGGCCAGGGGAGGCGCGGTGGAGACGGACTGAAGAGAGGAGAAGAGCTGTTCAAGGAGCCCTCTCTTCATGGGATCCCAAACTGTACAACCAGCTCCTCTTTTGCATCCACATGGATCTGAGAAAGTGCACTGTAGGCATAAGCAGCTATCCTGGAGACCTGAGGTAGAGGGGACCGGGGAGGAGAGGAACAGAGAGAAACATGAGACAGGATCCAGCTCGGGCAGCATGGTAGGGGGGTGGGGGGGATTAGAGCAAGAAATGATGAGGACCAAGCCAAAAAGAAAGGACCAAGGATGCAAAAGGCAGAAGGAAAAGAACAAGCAGGAGAGAAACAATAGAGGTTGAGAGTAAAGGAGCTGGGGAGGATATAAAAAGTCAGCAAAGAGGTGGGAGTGAGCTGGGCCCACAGGCTACCAGGCATCCTAATCCACTTCCCTACCTCCTCTGAGGCAGGGCAGTGTGGGAAGGGTGGAGCGGATAGGCCAGGGGAGGCTCACCTGCTGCAAGTCAGAGAAGGGGATGGGCTCGCTGGCCAGCACTTGGTGGGGCTGGCTGGTGAGAGATGGTAGCGGTGGCAACTTCTTCCAATGGGTCAGGCTGCTGCTCAGCACAGCCAAGCGGGTACTGGCCAAGAGGGAGGCAATGAGGGGAAGGGCAGTTAGGCTGTCACCTACACTGCCCACCCCAGCCCAGGCAAGCCTCACTCAGGCCAGAGGGGCAAGGTAACAGGGTCTAGCTCATCACAGACATTCTAGGTGCACGTCCCTTGGCCTCAGCACTCTCAAGAGTATACAGGGTGAAGAGGGCTAACACGTCATCTACAGAAGCACCGGAGTGGTTTGTGGTCAGTCTCCCACGCTGTGGCCCAGGCTCCAAAGCTGGAAAGGGCTGGCAGGAAGGGAGGGGCCCAAGGTGGACCAGAGCTCACCTGTACTGCCTTGCCCGGTCCATATACTCATGCTGCTCCATGCCCTGGGAGTCTGCAGCAGACACATCGATGATGTTGCTTTGGGGAGAGGAGACAAGACAGGTGTTTCAGAGAGGGACACACTGGACTGAGTGCAGGGTGCCAATTCCCAGGCTATATGACACCAATGTCCCTGCCTGCAGAGTGGAGCAGGCAGAGGCCAGAGACACTATCCCTCCCCAATGACCTTGTCCCATGCCCCGTGTGCTGGGTCTGGTTGCCCCTATCCCAGCCTTTCATTTGGACGGGAGCTCTGCCTCAGGCCTGGTCCTGTGCCACTCACCTGGCTGTCTTGGCAAGGATGGAGGAGAGCAGAGCCTGCTCATCTGTGCGAGCCGAAGGCAGGCTGTGATAGTTGGGCTCAGCTCCATTGAGGGCTTTGGTGGGAGGGCTACTAGGGTCTAGCAGCAGCTTCCGTTCCTCTCGATCCTAGGAGAGGCCATCAGAGAGAAGTCAGCCCCAGGACACCTAGTCCAACAGTCCTTTCCTGGAGTTTTTCCCCTCTGCTCAGCTCTGACCTTTAAATACCAAAATACTTTTATGGGGAATATTCAAAGCACCAGAGTTACAGAATATCAGGTAACACTTGATTCCTGTTGCCCTTTAGAGCTCAGTGTACTTGTGGTCTGGGATGAACTAAAGAATCCTAGAAGGCCTGAAAAGACAGACAGAGGCACAAATCAGGTATTCAACAGCAGCCCTGGAAAACAGTCCCACACTCACTGGAAAAAAGATGTCAGAGGTTGGAAGACAGAAGAGGTGGGAAAATACTAAAACAGTAGGGTCTAGAGTGGGGATCCCTACAAGTCAAAAGACCAAGAGCGAGCCAGCTGTGGTGCGGCCCAACTGTAATCCCAATGCTCTGGAAGGCTGAGGTGGGAGGATCAAAACTTGGAGCCCAGCCAGGGATTTAGCTCAGTGGTTTCTTGGCCTGTTGTGCAAGCTCAAGGACCCGAGTTTGATCTCCAGTACCAAAAAAAAGAAAAAAAAATGGAGCCCAGTCTGGGCAGCTCAGTGACTGAGCAAAACCCTGTCTCAAAAATAAAAAATAAAGGACTGGGGACATAGCACAGTGTGCAGGCCCTAGGTTCAATCCCCAGTACTGCCACCACCACTGACAGCAGCAACAAACGGGTAGGGGAGAGCAACCTGAGTGGGCTTCCTGACACTCTAAGACAATGTCCTCCCCAGCAAGGCTGTCTGATCCCCGATGGAGAATCCAGACAAGGCCCTAAGCAAGGACAACTCACTGGCCATTCCTCAGGTTATCTCAGGGCAGAAACACCACCTAGCCTCTGGGTCACACCTAAAAGTGTATTCCCTTCTGTGGGGCAAATCCCTTCTCTCAGGTGTTCACCCTCCTGTCCTGTGCTCTGTATGTGACTCCCAGACCCAAACGGAGTGTACATGGTCTATCCTGACCAGTGATGAACAGTGGTGATGTTCCTCCCTTACCAGACCACCATGCCTCTCTCACTGGGCCAAGTGGCCTCCTTAACTTTCAGCAGCACTGTTACTACCAGCCTGCACTGCTGAACACAACCCCCAGAACTGGCCTAGGACCAAAACATGTCTCCCTAGTCCTGTACAACTGTATTTCTCCTGGTCCTATTTCAGGCCCCTGTTCTTATCTACTGCTTTCTGTATCTGACTCTGCCTTGAGCCCATCAGCTGTAAATCCTTGCTGGCTTTGTGTCAGCTGCAATGTGGATAAGCAGACCAGCTGGGTGTCTATCCAAGCCATAAAGAGCTCAGGACAAAGCCAAGGATGGGGTGGGTGCGGTGGCACCCTGGCTAATGCTGACTCACCAACCCGCTGGGCGGGACCCCCGACTCCTCAGTGCTTCCTTCCAGGCCTGTCTCAGTTCCCACCACAGAGTTCCCTGCTGTAGCAGCCAGCTCCCCTTACTGAGGGCCACTTCCTCCTGCTTCCCCTGCCCCACCCTGGGCAGGCCCAGCCTTTTCACCTTGCTCTTCCTTCTCAAGCCTAGGTTGCCCAAGGGTCCCCAGACTATTTGATCCAGTTCCCAACAGCATGAGAAAAAAAGCTGGGGGCTTCTGCCCTGTCACCTCTAAACTCCTACATACCACATACTTCCCTCTTCCTTCTGTATTAAAAGGCTAAAAAGACAAAAAAACTTGCCAAAGAGGAGCTTATCTCTAAGGAAAACTGGCTCCATAATCAGGCTGAAATTACTTTATGTCCTTCCTCCACCCTCACTTTTTTCTTTGAGACAAGGTCTCACTATGTAGTTCAGATTGGCCTAGAACTCAATGATCCTCCCGCCTCAGCCTCTCAAATGCTAGGATTACAAGCTTGGGCCACCGCGCCCAGCCCTCCAGCCTCACTTCTGACAGATCTTCTGGCAAAACAGTAAGTTTCTTCCCTCTCAGAGTTTCAAGAACAAAGTTATTTTCCTAACCCTCAGAAGAGACCATCCTGCTCCCTTCAGAGTGGATAGATAATATCACCCTACACCCACAAGATGAGTGGAGCATAGGGTAGGTCTGTCACACCAAGGTTTGTCCCTGAGACAGTATAACCCAAGAGTCAAGGTGTCACCACAGACCCAGATGTAGCCTACCCATGACTGGCCACTTGGTTTGTGGACATGGATGCCCAAAACAGCTTGGCCCAATACATAAAGCATATGACCTGACATCAAAACATTCTCAGGATTGCAAAATCTTAGTCTCGCTTAACTTTTTCCTCACCTGTTTTGTTGTTTGAGATAGAGTCTCAACATGTAGCCCAGGCTGGCCTTGAACTCAAAGCAATCCTCATGCCTCAACCTCCCAGGTGCTGGGATTACAGGCTTTCACCATCAAACCTGGCTCCTCACCTTTTTTCCCTCCTGTAGTACTGGGAATTTCAGGAATTCATGAGAATACTAGGCAAACACTCCTCCAGCCCTTTTTTGTTTGATTTTTTCAACAGGGACTTGCTATATAGCTCGCACTGACCTTGAACTCACTATGTAGCCCAAGCTAGCCTCAAACTCATGGTTATCCTCCTGCCTCAGCCCTTTGAAAACTGCAACGTGCTAGGCATGGTGGCACAGGCCTGAAATCCCAGCACTTAGGAAGCTGAGGCAGGAGGATCGCTTCAAGTTTGAGGCTAACCTAGGCTACATGGTGAATTCAAGGTCAGCCTTAACTACATAGCAAGTCTTTATCTCAAAAAGAAAAAAAAGGCGGGCCGGGTATTTAGCTCAGTGTTTCCACTGCCTGCCTCGCAAGTGCAAGGACCCGAGTTCCATCCCTGGTACCACAAAAAAAAAAAAAGAAAAAAGAAAAAAAGGGGGGCCGGCCAGGATGTAACTCAGTGGTGCTGCACTTGCCTGACAAGTGCAAGGTTCTGAGTTGGATCCCCATACCAAAAAAAAAAAAAAGGAAAATTGTAATGTGTTAGACATTTCTTTTTATTATTATAATAAAGGGGCGGTGATGGGAGTGGGGTAGTGAATGGCTAGGGCCTGTCCTGAAGGAGACCTCAAATCACTCATCACTGATCAGTCACCTTGTCTGAGGGTTACAAATAGAAATGAGAGCCCATCAAGGGGAAGGTGGAGATTCAGGAGAGCAGCAAACCCAGCTCTCTCTTCCAGCTAGAAACAGGCATCCTTCTTCCTCAGACGTTAACACTTTTTATTCCCTCTAAGAGTCCATATTATGCTTTTAGGGACAATTTCCCTCTGGGCCACAGCTCTCCCAGCAAGTAAAAATACTGCTGTCTCTGCTAGGGTGACATCAGTGATACTGGCCATGAGATATGCCTGACACAGGGCATAGGAAATGTGTGTTCATTAGGTGTTTGGAGAATTTTCGATCAGGAGCCACTCACACCTCCCATACAAATAACATTTTCCTGAGCTTAAGTCTTTAACTCAAAATATCATTATTAAGGAAAGAAACTTTCCAAATACCAGTGGTATAATCTACTTCTGGAACCATCTCCCCCACTAGACTGCATACTACCTGAATTCATAGAATTCAGGCTTAGAAGTAACAACAAAAGAGCCGAGGATTTAGTTCAGTGCTTCCGGCGCCTGCCTTGCAGGCGAAAGGGTCCCGAGTTCGATCCCCCGTACCAAAAAAAAAAAGTGAGTGTCCAGCAGCTTGAGACTTTACCCATGTAAAGGTCTCCCCTTCAAGTGGTCAGGCAGAGCAGGGATTGAAGTATGGAAAGAGGGAATGCATCAATGGGAAGAAGAGTATTTGAAAACTGTACAGATCTCCTCAACCTAATCCTTTCTCCAAAGGGATCAAGTCTGTAGCCCTAATCTCAAAACAGACACATCTCTAGCTAGAGGAACCTTCAGACACCAGGTAAGGGTCTGCACGGAGGCAGGCCAAACTCAGAACCAATCCCTCTTTCCCCCCAAGTAGGTCAAAGCTAAATCTAGTGTATTGCTTCCCAAACAACTTCCCACACGTCTGTCTTCATTGTAGTTATTACAATTCTTCATTGGCTAACTCAAATGTCACCAACTTCGGAGCTTTCTCTGATCTCAGACCAGCAGTGCCATTACTTCTCCAACTCCAGGGGCAGAGAAGATACACAAAGTCCTGATCCATTCTGGGACAATCTAACTCAGGGCCTCAACTTAACCACCTCTACAATGGATTCGCAAAGGCCACTAATACAAGCGCACAGAAGGTGCAGGGGATATGGGAAGGAAGTACTTCCCAGAGACCTAGGAAGGACTCTTGAAGCTTGTTAAGGTCTGAAGACAGGGATGGGGGAAGGGGAAGGAACGAGTCAGATAGGAGGCCGCGGGCACATCTGACAGAGCCTAGGTGAAGACCTGGGGCTTTAACAGAGGTAGGAGCTCGGCTTGGCGTCTCCTCTGTAATCTGTCTCCTACAGGCCTCCGTACTGGATGAGCCCTGTACTCCAGCACCCACTCCTCTGCAGGTTTTTGGGGGGGCCCAAGTCCCAGGGTCTAGGCCCTCACTCCCGAGCCCCGCCTGCCGCGGCCGCACCTGGTCTGAGTCTTCATTTTCGCTGCTGTAGCAGCACCCCATTGCTGGGGCAGGGCCGGGCGCTCAGGCCGCGCCGAGGAGGGACGGCGTCCGTCAGGAGCCCTTCCGGTCACATGACCTACGGCTGCCTCTCGCGAGCTACTATCCGTTCCCCTCACCCCCCCCCCGACTATCCGCTCCCAAAGCAACAGCCAAACCCCGACTTCCGGCCCCACCCCCAGCCTCGTGACTACCACCAACCAATGGGAAGACACGCCCTACGGGAACAGCAAGGAATCACGTGATACGAGGACTGGGAAGGAGATGTCACATGACTATCATCTGCCCAGTCTGTAAATGCAAATCTCTAAACCTTGGGCGGTAGCTGTGCTAAGTGATCGCATGCCCCTTACGCTACCTTACCTTTCTAGGCCAGTGAGCGAACTCATGCCAACTGCTGTCATGATATACTTTTAGATGCCATATGAGGACTGAGTGGGATCCAGTCCCGCAGCTCCTAGGGCCTATAGTTTGGGGCACACACAAGCCTCAAAAGATTGGTGTCCAATGGGGCGGGGGGATTATACCTTCGCTATCTGAAGCGGAAGTGGAGACTCCACCTTGCTGACCTATCCCTCCGTCGTTTTTCTTTAGTCCTGCCTTTTGACAGCAGCCATAGTAATCTAACCAAAGGACTTTTGAGGAGGGGGACTCAGCCTTACTGTGTACCCCAGGCTAGCCTTGAAATGAAGATTGCTCTGCCTCTGCCTCCCAACTCCTGGTATTATAGTCATGTGACTTCATGCGGGATTCAGTGTGCTCTTAAAAACCCCTCCAGACTAGGGATGTAGCTCAGAGGCACAGCGTCTCCCTGGCAAGCATGAGGTCCTGAGTTCGATTCCGGTACAAAAAAAACCCCAAAACAAACCCTCCTTCGGGGCAGGGTGCCAAATGCCTGCAATCTCAGGAGGCTGAGGCAGAAGGACTGCTATGAGTTCGAGGCCAGCCTGGGCTCCATAGTGGGTTCAAGGCAAGGGCAGCCTAAATTACATAGAAAGACCCTGTCTCGACAAAGCAAAACAACAAAAAACCCCTCAACCCTCCTGTCTTCCCTTAGGCCAAAGATACAGGGCCAAGTCTGTAGATTATGCACTGCCCGATACCTGTGTCCCACTTCATGTCAGAGGGTGGAGGGTTATGGAAGGTGCTTTCACTAGCCAGAGAAATACTTGTAAAGTTTCTTCCCTTTGGTTTTGTTGTGTGTGTGGTTTTGTTTTGTTTTGTTTTGTGTTACTACGTATGAAACCCAGGGTCTCAAGTGTGGAAGACAAGCATTCAGCCATTGAGCTACACCCTCAAGTCTGCTTTTGGGTTTGTTTGTTTGAGACGGTCTCCTAAATTGCCAAGCCTGGCTTTGAACTTGCTATCTTCCTGCCTCAGCCTCCCTAGTGGCTGAGATTATAGGCCTACCATACCCCACCCAGCAGTAGTTGGTTCCTCTACTGACCTCCTGAACATTGCACATGGGGCCTGGCAAACTATCTTCCTGCCAGGTCTGCCTGTTGTCAACAAGGCTACTCAACATAAATGATACCCATCTGATTACCTTCTCTAACTCCATTCTCTGAGCATCTTCAGCTTCCTGTGCTTTAACTTTATCCAGTGTGAATTAACTCATTAGGTCAATGAATGTTTACTTTCTACTGTGTACCACGCCAGTGTTCTATCTGGATAGGCAGTCAGTCAGAAAACAGTTGAAAGTTCTTGTATTCATGGAGCATCCAATCTAGTAATCACACCATACTGTAATCTCTTGTTCCTAGGTCAACCTCTGCTACCAAATTTAGAGTTCCTGGAAGACAGGGGCAGGTTCTGACTCTTCTCTGTGACCTAAGCCACTGAAGACTTGAATTTTCAGTTGAGTAATTTGCAATTTCTCCATCACCTTGGCTCATGTTTCATATCCTGATCCAAGGGAATGGGGGAGAAGTCACCAGACCTAGTAGCATTTACTACCCTTCCAATGAAGACCCTGGAGTTCTGTAAGTTTTTTGAGGGCTCCTAAGGTTTAGAAGGCATCTCCACCTTGTCCCTAGGTCTAAGGGCCGGGGATTTAGCTTAGTGGCACTGTGCCCGTCTCCCAAGCACAAGGTCCTGAGTTTGATCCCAGATACCAAAAAAAAAAAAAAAAAAAAAAAAAGCTAATTACATAGGTCTGGTAACTTGAACTGCAAGTCTCAGGTAGCAACAGCTGCCTCAGCATCAATAATTGAAACCAAGTCCATCTTCCCACCTCAGGGTTATTCCCCCTAAGGACTCCCCTACCTGGCCTGTACTCCTGCGTTCCCTAAGCAGGAGCCTCTATCCCAGGTAAGGCGGGCTTTATGGGTTCCCATGCCCACCATCACTCACCCACTCACCTATTTACATCCATTCATGCACTCTGCTTTAGTCCTCCTCCCAGCCCCACCAGAGGCCCTGGAAGTCCTTCCAGATCAGATCTAGAGGGGAAGGATGGTCCAGGGCTGGGAGAGGAAAGGGCAGCTATCCTTCACAGGGAGCCTTGGGGAAAAGGGCTGAGAGTGAGGAAAGTGTGTGGTGTTTTTATGTATGCACTCATAAAGAGAATTTTTTTGTACCGGAGATGGAACTCAGGACCTTGCGCTTGCAAGGTAGGCAGTGGTACCACTGAGCCAAATCCTCAGCCCAAGAGAATTCTGACAGCACAGGCAAAGAGTGAGAAAAAAGACAAGGGAGAAGGAAGAAGGGAAGGAGTACAGAATCAAGGACTCCTTCCATCTTCAGTGAAGAGCAAAGTCCTGGGGTGGGAAAAAGACATCTCATCCTAACATCTTTTATGAAGTATTTTAACTGCCTTTTACTGAGACACAGCACAGTGGCAATGAGGCATTTTCTGAACAAAAGCACCAAGCTTTTTTCTTCTGCTATGCGGTATTAGGTGAGAGGAGACCAAGCAGCTAAGGGATTTGGTGGGTGTGAGGATATTGTAAAAAGAATTAATGAAAGAGGTCCTGAAGAAGGGGTGACATCAGGGAAAAAAGGAAGTGAGTGAGGGGAGTGAGGTGGAGAGGGAGAAGAAGTTGGGACTGGAGAGAGGTGGTTTGAGATTGGGCTGAACGTGGACAGTATAGAGTCTTTGAAAATACATAGGCTTGGACTCATACCAAGATGTATTCAGCTTTAGCTTCCTGTGCTTCATCTTTTTTTTGCGGGGGGCGGGGTGTTGAGACAGGGTCTCACTATGTCACTATGTAGTTCAGGCTGGCCTCCAACTCATGGTGATCCTCCTGCCTCAGGCTCCTGAGTACTAGGATCAGAAGTGTGCACCACCACACCCAGAAATTAGCTCTTTAAATCAATAGACATTCACTGTCTGCTGTGCCCAGTTCTTCAGTAAGACTGGACAAAATACACAGCCTATCTCAGCCATGGTTTGTAAAATATGAGCATAGTAAATGCTACTGGTAAAGGCTGCACAAATGACCAGGAATTGGTGGGTGTGGGTTTCTCTCCTACCTCCCCCCACCCCAAGGCACAGGTAAGGACCATGTCCCCTGCAATTGCGCTGGCATTCCTGCCACTGGTGGTGACATTGCTGGTGCGATACCGGCACTACTTCCGACTGCTCATGAGAACTGTCTTGCTGAGGAGCCTCCGAGATTGCTTGTCAGGGTTACGGATTGAGGAGCGGGCCTTCAGCTATGTGCTCACCCATGCCCTGCCTGGGGATCCTGGTCATATCCTCACCACCCTGGACCACTGGAGCAGCCACTTCGAGTACCTAGGCCACATGGGGCCTGTCAAAGGTCAGTGTTCCAGGAAGTACCCCAAGAGGGTGAAGAAAGATCTGGGACCTGTCACCGCCTTCCTGGGTAAACTGGGCAGGTTCATGTTCTTTGGCTTATCTTTTCTCATCTGGAAATGAGGGACTTGGACTGAGTCATTTATTCACTTGATAAACATTTATTGCCATCCACTTTGTACCAAATATGTGCTAGGTATGGAAGAGACAGAGGCAATAGAGATGAGCCAGTCACAAACACTGGACTCAAAGGGAGGGAATATATAAGGGCATAACTATAACTCACAGCTTTCTTCCCTACCATAGATGCTTCTGCATCTGATTCAGGATAGCACTGCCTGTATTTATCTTAGTCACAGCTCCCAGCAAAGTTAAAGTCTTATTTTAAAAATTCATCCAATTCCAAGATCAGAAATATATTCAGTGAACAAAAAAAGGGGGGGGTGTGAAACTAGAAGCTTCTCAGGAGCCTGGAAGATGGGGTGGTTGTTTCTACCTGGGCACTCCTGAAGGAAGCAACATTTGAACTGAGCCTAGAAGGACTGGTTTCAAGTTGGCCATGTGGATGGGGATGGGAGTGGGGACGGGCAAAGCCAGTCACGTGTACAGATGTGGCATAGAGGAAAGAAACATCGTGGTTGATTCTGGGAACAGTTGTTTGGGATGGCTGTGATTTCAAGTTACAGGTAGGAGGAGCTGAGAGCTGTAGCTGGAACGCTAGGATAGGATCAGGTCTAAGAAGGTCCTGAATGCCAGGCTGAGGATCCCAGTTCAACTTTAAAGGCCTTTAAAATACAGGAGCCAGAGACTTACAGATTTGTTAGATTTCTAATAGCTGGTGTGAATAGACTGGAGGGGGCAGGAGGGGAGGACCAGTAGGGCAACTGGGGATGAAATGAGACCCCAGTTGGTTGGGGGCTACTAGGAGACAGGTAGGGATTTGCAGTCTCTTTTCATCAGAGGCCTTGCATCATCTTCTACAACAGCCATCTTGCCCCATAGGTCAGATCCTAATGCAGCTGGTGGAAGAGAAGGCCCCTGCTTGTGTGCTGGAGCTTGGCACCTACTGCGGATATTCCACACTGCTTATTGCCCACATCCTGCCCCCTGGGAGTCGCCTTCTCACTGTGGAGCAGGATCCACGCACAGCAGCAGTGGCTGAGAAAGTCATCCGCCTGGCTGGCTTCGATGAGCACACGGTCAGCCTCCCCATCTCTCTAATTCTGATCTCTTCTCTGGGACCCTGGCCTTGCCCTAGCCAGGCCTCTTAGCAAGTGTGATCAGGTAGGGTGTGTGACCTACCCTCCCACCCCAAGCCATCACTACATATTTCCTGCTAGATGACAAAAGCAGCTAAGAAGAAGTCTCCAGAGTTCAGCAACTGAGTCCAAATCTTAGTCTACCTCTTGCTAGCTGGGTGACCTTGGGCAAAGGACATATCCTCTGAGTTTTAGCATCTTCGTGGGTATAATGGGAATTACAATAGTGACCTAGCTTCTTGGGTTCTGAGGCCAAAGGAAATGTGAGACACTTGTGGGTGGGTACTTAGGCCAGATCCTGGTGGGATCTGGAGTGGGAAAGGAATCCCTCCTACTCTCACAGCCTGGCCTTCCCTCACAGGTGGAGCTCATTGTTGGCAGCTCAGAGAAGGTGATTCCATGCCTACGAGCCCAACATCAGCTGAGTCAGGCAGACCTGGTGCTCCTGGCACACCGGCCCAGATATTACTTGCAGGACCTGCAGCTGTTGGAGGCCCATGCTCTGCTGCCAGCTGGTGCCACTGTGTTGGCTGACCATGTGCTCTTTCCTGGTGCACCCCGCTTCCTGCAGTACGCCAAGAGCTGTGGCCACTACCATTGCCGCCTGCACCACACTGGCCTCCTAGACTTTCCTGCCATTAAGGATGGCATAGCCCAGCTCACCTATGCTGGACCTGGTTGAGGTCCAGGACGAGAAGTATTTACTTATTCACTCCCATCTCCACCCAAGAACATCCCCTTCCCTCCCTATTTGGTGCCCAACACATGCTGGGCTCATGGTTGGGGAGGCCAACTCTGCCCCTTTCCAGCCTCCACACTGATCTGAAGCGTCAAATCCTATCAGACTGCCTGGTCCCACTGGTCCCCTTCCTTGTAGAGAGCCATGGACTTAGACCAAGAGGCCCAACTTCCCAAGCCAGCTGTCTGGTTTGCTGGGCGACTCCAGGCAAGTCCTGCCCTGCTCTGAGATTTAATTTGCTCCTTTAACACACTAAGATAGCTAGCTAGGAGAGTGCTAAGGCCTCCTAGCTCTGTGCCTCAGGAAACCTCCCCTCACCAGCCCTGACGTCATGGGCAGGATTAAAGGAAATACCAGATAAGTGGCCCTGCAGGAATGGCTGGGTGCAAGCTGGTGCACAGAAGCCAGGGCTCAGGTTCTCCAACCCTGGCCTACCAGGCCAATTAGGTTTGCTTTATATCCATGGAATTTCCCCTTCTCCCCCACAAGCCCAAGAGAAGATGGACTCCTCTAGGTCCCACCAAGTAGGGAATAGACATAGGGGAAAAAAATCAGTCCTGTATCTTTATTAACAAGGGTTAGAAAGATACCAGACCTGTCAACCAGGGGGTGGCCAGGAAGGTGGGATGGACTCAGGCTCTGGGGATTCAAGGGCAGACTGATGGTCTGGGAGGGGTCAAGATCAGGTCCTGGCAACAGCTGAGGAAGTGCCCATGGCTGAGCTTTCAGGCACTGCGGCTGTCAGCTGGTTCTCTGGGCTGGGAGGTTGAGGGCTGGGGATGCAGGGTAGGTTGGGCTGGCCTGGAATCGCCACCCTGCCTTGTCAACCTAGATCATCCACTGGTCCTGATCCTGTTCGTTGCCTTCCATGTCCACCTGGAGAGGAGGCTGAGTGTGGGTGGGACGGGACCTCAGTCCCAGATCCTGCCCCTTGGTGGATCCAGGGTTTCTGTAACCCTTTGCTATCAATTAGATTGGGTTAGGGGCCCAGGAACAGAAACCCTCCCCTTCACCCCATGCCTACCTCATTGACTTCTCCGTCATCAGGTGATTCATTATAGTCGTTCATCTCATCCATGTCCTGCATGTCTTCATCATCTTCTGAGTCCTCTTCACTATCCTCATCATCATCTTCATCCTCCTCTTCCTCATCATCATAGTGCTGGGAAGGCAGGAGAGAGCCTGAAGGTCCTACTGGGCTGTCTGGACCAGTTCAAGAGCTGGCCCACTTGAAGCCTCCCTCTCCCTGTCCCTGCCCCCACTGAATCTAGCATGCTGATGGATGTTCTGCAAGATACTGGTACTGGGGCCTATGTCCACCCACTGCAGCTCCCCTTTCTAGCCTCTACCCAGACTGAGAATCCACAACTGCTCTGGCTCAGAGACAGGATATTCAGAATTAGAGCAGAGCTTTGGTCCACCATGGGCCTCACATAGGCCCCACCTGCTGCAGCAACTCACCTCTGAGGCTGGCTTGCCAATAGGTACCAGGTTGTTGTCTTTCTCTGCGATGCTTTGGAGCTGTGAGCAAAGGGAGGTCCGGAGGGCCCAAGAAGGAGAGATCAGGGGCATGGAACTGGCCCACTCTGCCCCTAAGTGTTGGGAGAGAACTGTCCTCCCAGTTCTCAGGAAGATTCAATCCCTTTCTCCTGTCATCTGCCACTTATAAATTTGATCCAACTACTTAAACTCTTCTGAGTCTTGGCTTCTTCATGTAATTATGGTAAGGGTGAAGTGACTTAGCCTAGAACATGGCATCTGCTAGACCCAGAATATAATAAATAGTTAAAATTATTAATTCCTGTGCTTCAGGGAAAAGAGTTTGGGCTGAGTGAGGGGAACCTGAGCTCTAATCTTCCCCAAGAAGTCTCATGGTCCCCCAGCAAATGAGAGCAAATGAGACCCCTGGCTCCCAGCCCAACTACTCCCAGTTCAGAGCAAAGAGCTCTTTCAGGCAGGTCTCCAGAGGAAGGCCCAAAGGGCCTGTTCTAGGTTCTCACTCACCCAGGCCTGATGCTGCTGTTCCTGCTGCTGCAGCTCTGTCTCCTCCACACAAGGCCGATCCAGATTAAACCACAGTGTCTCAGTCACACGGGGGAAGAGTGAAGGGAACAAGGTGGACATGGCTCCTAGACTGAGGAAAACAGTGAAGTGAATGTGATTTGCTTCGGATTTCAATTGGCTATAATTTGATTTAGGGACAGGGTGGAGTGAAAGGTAGCAGGGAAACTTCCCTCTGGGAATCACACAGACCTGGGTTTGAGTCCTGGGTCCACCACCTACTAACTGTTTGTGGCCAAGTCACTTAACCTCTCTGGGCCTCAGTTTCCTCATCTGTAAAATTAGGATAATAACAATTATACCACCCTCAAAGTTATTCTGATAAGCAGTTTCTAAGTAAAGCTGTAGGTTGTTCATGAAGGGAAAAGAACTAGGGCCAACTATAGAGATGGAATCCAGAGTACAGACTGGGATTACAAAATTAGAGGCAGCAGGGCTCTACTGAAATTATCTCTATCCCCTCCACACCCTAAAACTTAATTTTTGCCCCTTTATGATGGTCCATGTGATGCCCACCCAGTATGAAAAATTTGGAACACTAACTACCTCTCTCGTGGACCAAACTGGGGGATAAAGGTGGCACCACGTGCAAACAGGATATAGTAGGGCGTTCTAGAAGGCATAAATACATGGATAAGTAAATGAAAGATTGAACGGATGAACTTGTATGTACAAGAAAAGTAAATCAGCTGCGAGAGCTGACCGGGAAGGTCCTAGGGAATCTGAATTAAAACATTTCAGCTCACAAACAGGAAAACTGAGATCTAGCAACAGGCTGACTGGCTTTAGGTCGCACAGTGAGCCAGGGCTTAAAAGTCGCGCAGGAAAGGGATCCATCTTCTCTGGAGATGAGAAGAAAAGAATCCATATGAAGGCCAGTTTTTCCCGCACTTATTTGACCAACCCAGATGGACCCAAACTTCCCAGTCCCACTACCAAGCACAAGAGCCTTCACCCTCATATCCCGTAAATACTGACAGCCCAGAGATCTTGCCTCGAAAAACCCAACCCACCGCCGCAAAAGCACCACCCATTCTTTGCTTATTATAATAATGACAGCGCGGTTGACCAACAGAAAGAAGGCAGGGGTGGGCCTTGCACAGGAGTTTGGCCTTATAGGGTTGATGAGCGCGAAAGGAGTGGGGCCTGGGTAGAGCCAATTAACTGAAAGAAATGCCAGGTGACAGGAAGGGAGACCAATGAATGACGGGTTCTGTGTGGATAGGGTGGGACTTAGCCCCAATGAAGCGGCCAATGAGCAGTAGTTCTTTAAGGGTAAAGGAATCTGAACGAGGAGCTTCAGAAGAACTGGGCTTCTCTGGGGGAAGAAGGAAAAAAGGGGCAAAGAGATAGCTACAGCCTCGCTTCTGTACTTACCGCCCCGGGAGGCGGCAGCCGGCGGCGACCCGGAAGCGCTTCTCTTAGTTTGAGCGGAAGGACCCACCAGCATCCGGAACCCACCAAACGCATGCGTCCTTCGTCACCTTTTGTTTCCCCGCTCTCGCTTACAAGACCGGATGTGACGTTATAGGTCCCTTAGTCCCGTACTACGTGGGGGAAGGAAATTTGTTATGTTTATCTATTGGCCCTACCTTAAGTCTCAGTCAATCCACTGCATGTGCCGCTGCCCCTCCACCTAATCGTTCGCCTCCGTCCCTGCTCGGAATTTACGCTCTAACACCTTTTAAAAAATGCCTACTGGCACAGTGCGTCGCTGTGAGCATTCTTTCTCGTGTTGCTTTCCAGGAAGATCTGCTTTTGTCTCAGAATCTGAGTGTTTTAACGTCCCTCTTGTCACCTCAGACTTAGTTAACCGTATGAACATATTCATTCCTTTATGTATGTCTTTTCTTTTGGTACCGGGGATCAAACTCAGGACCTTGTGCTTGTGTGGCAGGCGCCGGAACCACTGCGCTAAATCCCCGGCCCTTTATGTTTGTCTTGAACAAAAATATGTGATTACATATTTCATTCTTTGCTAGAAACGGGATAAATTAATGAGTATGGTCACTGGCCCCAAAGACTTTGGTTCGAAGGAGAAGCCAGACCCTGCAGACCCCACTGGGAAATTGAACACAATGTCTTTTTTTTTGAGAATGGGTCTTGCTAGGTAGTTCAGGCTGGCCTTGAACTCACTATATAATCCAGGCTGGCCTCGCAGTCCTCCTGCCTCAGTTTCTCAAGTGCTGGGATTACAGGGGTGCTCCACAATGCCCAGTGATTCCGCAATTCTTGTCTCTGACCCAACCTTACCTTCAGAGACTCTCATGCTTTCTGGTAAAAGAAGTCTCTCAAACCCAACTAACTTCGTCACCTACCAGCCTCTCAGGACCAGCAAACCAGGATTTCACTCCTATGCTCAACAGATGTGAACACTTGAGCAAGTCCTTTTACTCTGCCCTCAGCTTCTTTAATCAGCATTTTTTTAATGTTTCTTTTTTTAAGAAAAAATAAAACAAAATTTCATAAATAATAAGAGAACAACAATAGTCAACTACACTGTGTAGAATTATCTTCAAAGTGGTTACTCAGAGTACAAGACATAAACCAAAAAGATTCTTTCAAAAAAGAAACAACAAATCTTTCAACAAACTTAAGATAAACATAGTATAAATGAAACCAATTAGCATGTATATTGAAATATTTTTAAAACAATGGAATTTGTAATTTGGGGTGTTTTTTTTTGATACCGGGGATCGAACTCATGTCCTTGTGCTTGCACAGCAGGCAGTGAAACCACCGAGCCAAATCTCCATCCCTAAGTATTTGAACTTCTCTTTATTTCCTATTTATCTCTCTTCTATTTTGGTCTTTATTTGTGTTTTTCTTTTTTTTTTTTTTTTGGTACCGGGGATCGAACTTGGAGCCTTGTGCTTGGGAGGCTAGCAGCAGGAAGCATTTGTTTTCTTTTCTTTTTTGTGTGTTTTTCATGTAAGAGAAGCCATGCAATATTTGAGCTTGTGTGTTTGACGTATTTCGTTTAACATTATGTTCTCCAGTCACATCTATTTATCTGAATGGCTCAAGTTTATCTTTGTGTGTGTGTGTGTGTGTGTGTGTGTGTGTGTGTGATAGGGTCCTGCTATGTAGTTCAGGATGGCCTTGAACTCATTATGTCACCCAAGCTGGCCTCAAACTTGTGGAAATACTCCTGCCTCAGCCTCCCAAGTGCTGGGATTACAGGCATGCACCACCACATCCAACTCAAATTTGTCATTCTTTATGGCAGTGTAGTGCTCCATTGTGTGTTAATATCACATTTTCCTCATCCATTCATCTGTTGATGTACATATATGCTGTTTCCAAGATCTAGCTATTATAGATTGTACTGCTATAAACATGGGTATGGATATATCACTGTAATATGATTTTATCTCTTTTAGGACAATACCTAGAAATGGGCTAGCTGGGTCAAATGGAATTTCTAGGGGTTTGTTTTTTGTTGTTGTTGTTTTTCTCGGTACCAGGGATTGAACTCAGGACCTTGTGCTTGTGAGGCAGGTGAGGCACCACTGAGCTAAATCTCTGGAATTTCTAGGTTTTAGTTTGTTTGGGGTTTTTTGGTACCGGATATCGAACTCAGGACCTTGCACTTGTGAGGCAGGCAGCAGCATCACTGAGCTAAATCCCTGGCCCAAGGTTTTAGTTTTTTGAGAAATCTCTACATTGATTTCCATAGTGGTTGTACTAATTTACATTCCTACTAACAATGTAGTTGAGTTCCTTTTTCCCTACATCCTTGCCAGCATTTGTTATTATTAGATTTTTTTTATGATACACCTTCTTTCTGGGATAAGATAGTATCTCAGTATAGTTTTAATTTGCATTTCTCTGATGGCTAGCAATGATGAGCATTTTTAAATGCATTATTGACCAATTGTCACTCTTCTGAGAAGTGTCTATTTCAGTGACCCATTTTTTGATTGAGTCTTTTATTTGGGGGAAGTCTAATTTTTTTATTTCTTTATATGTTAGTCCTCTGTTCAAGGAATAGCTGGCAAAAACCTTTTTCACATTTTGTAGCTTGTCTCTCTCTTATTTTTTAAAAATTGAGACAAGGTCTCACTATATAGGTCAGGCTGGCCTTGAACTCACTATCTAGCCTAGGCTGGCCTGGAACTCACAGAGATCCTCCTGCCTCGGCCTCTAGAGTGCTGGGATTACAGGCATGCGCCACCTCATCCAGTTGTAGCTCGTCTCTTCGCTCTGTTGGTTGTTTTCTTTGCTGTATGCAGAAATTTGATACAATCCCATTTGTTACAGTATTATTTCCTGTGCCATTGGGGCTCTGTGCAGAAAGTCCTTGCCTATGCCTCTGTCTTCAAGAATTGTACCTGTTTATATCTTTCAGCAGATTAAGTGTTTCTGTTTTAACATTTAGATATTTGATCCATTTTTATTTTAGTTTAGTACATGGTGAGATATATGGGTCTAGACTCAATCTTCTGCATGTGGATAATTTTTGCAGCACTATTTATTAAAAAGGCTATCTTTCCTCCAGTGTATGTTTTTGACTCCTTTGTCAAAGATCAAATAGCTCTATGTGGGCTGGGGATTTAGCTCAGTGGCACTGTGCCTGCCTCTCAAGCATAAGGTCCTGAGTTCAATCCCCCATACCAGGGAAAAGAAAATAGCTATATGTCCCTGGGGTTGTTTCTGCTTTTTCTATTCTGTTCCATTGATCCACATCCTTATTTAACCAGCATCATAATCTGCCAAGATTTTCACCTGTGGTAGGCTGATATGAAGATTGGATAACTGCTGTTCAATAGTGTAGCAGGGCTGGGTATTTAGCTCAGTGGCACAGCGTCTGCCTGGCAAGCACGAGGTCCTGAGTTCAATTCCCAGTACCAAAAAAAAAAGATAGTGTTTCCAGGCATGGTGGTGCTTGCCTGTAATCCCAGGACTTGGGAGGCTGAGGCAGGATGATCTCCACAAATTCAAGACCAGCTTGGACTACATAGTGAGTTCCAGGCCAGCCTGAACTACATAGCAAACCCCTTCTTAAAAAGAGAGGGACAGGGTATCAGATGTTGGAAATGTCTACCCTTTTCATCCATTCATTTGCCAAATGTATAGATATAGACCCCTGATAGTAATATGTAGTGCATATATGATAGTGAACAAAACAGACCAAGTAAGACCCCCCCCCATCATATAGCTTCCATTCTCATGAGAGAGATAAACAACGAAAGAGAAAGATGAAGCCAGGCATGATGGTGCATACCTATAATTCCAGCTACTTGGGCAGGAAGTCAGCTTTACAAGTTCAAGGCCAGCCTGAGCTTGCCTCAGAAATTTAATTTAAGCTCAGTGGTACAGTGCTTACCTAGCATGTAGGAGGCCCTGAGTTTAATCCCCAGTATCACACACACAAATGAGGAAAAAATATATATTTAAGATTGAAGTAAATACTGATGAGAACTAGGAATAAAATGTTGTCAGGGGAGTTGTTTAAATAGGGGACTCCAGGGAAATCACTGGAAGGGGTAACTTTTGAGTAAAGGTCTGAAGGGGAAGAGAGAGAGGGAGGGAGGGGGGAGAGAGAGAGAGAGAGAGAGGGCATGAGCCTGCTGATATTTGGCAACAAAGATTTCAGGGAGCAAGAACAGCAAGTACAAAGGGCCTAGAATAGCTGGAGCAGTGTCCTTTGTGGAGAAGAGTCAATGAGGACAGAAAGGCAAAAGGAGGCAAACAGATACAACTTTGTGGTCATAATAAGGACTTTGCCTTTTACTTTGTGTTAGGGAACCAGTGATGGGTTGTAAGCAGAGAGAGAATCCACATAGTCTGACTTACAGTTTGACAGAGCTACTCTGTGCTGTGACCATAGTGTTCTGTGACCATAGGCATGGAGGGAACAATGGCAGAGCCAAGGAGACCAGTTCAGAGCCTGCTATAATAATCCAGAAGGAGTAGATGGATGGATGATAAGAAGTGGTTGGGTTTTAATGTTTGTTTATTTATTAATTTATTTATTGCTGGGTATTAAACCAAGGGTTCTGTACCATGGCGCTACAGCCTCATACTTTCTTTTTTTCATTAGAGGCAACGTCTAAATATGTTGCCCAGGCTGGCCTTCCACTTGTGATTCGCCAGTCTTAAACTCCCAGGTACCTGAGATCATAGGTGTGTGCCACCGCACCTTGTGAATTTTAATTTTTTTTTTAATACTGGGAATTGAACTCAGGACCTTGTGCTTGCAAGGCGGGGGTCGGCACCACTATGAATTTTGAATATATTTAGAAGATAGAGATAGCAAGGTTTGCCTGTGGCTTGGATATAGAGTATCAGAGGAAGAAAAAAGCCAAGATTTTTAGCCTGAATAGCTTTTCCCATTTTTTGAGTGTGTGTGTTGTTTATTTTTTGGTACCAGGGATCAAACTGGGGATCAAACTCTCGGGACCTTGCGCTTGCAAGGCAGGCGCCGGAACCACTGAGCTAAATCCTCGGCCCAAAAACTATTTGTTTTTGTTTGTTTATTTGTTTGTTTGGTACCTGGGATCCCACTTGGGTC